AAAAAAAAAAAAAAATCTAAAGTTGCATTTCTAGTAAGAACCTAATCCCGAATGTATATAACTAGTTAGGATTGATTTAGATTAATACTTTGTGAGCCTTCTGATTATCATCCTCATGTTCCACATTCTGTTACATATGCGGCTGTTACTTTTAATATGAAGGACAAATGCTATGTTTTGGGTGCATATATTCTGAGTAATTGATGTCTTTTATGCAGAGTCAGCCCCTTTCAAGAGTTGAAGAATATAGACAACTGTTTCGTCTTCCATCTGATGAGGTGAGTGAACTCATTGGTAAAAATATTGAGGGTTATTTTAAATGACTGGCCAACTTTTATGGAAATATATAAATTTTTTTATATTCCTTTTCTATTATTACTAGTACTTATTTGGCCTATTTCATTATTATTATCAATCCGTTTCATGCATCATAACCACACTTCTTGATCATGTAAATCATATGCTATCATTTACTTAGTCTTACACTGGTTTACTGCTGGTGGCAACATCAGATTTTCATGAGTTGTGGTTTATGTCAATTGTGACAGACCATTTTATGATGTGCAATCTATCCATTTTATGATGTGCAATCTATCCATTTTATGATGTGCAATCTATTTGCGAGAAAATTTATTTCAGTTCCCCCGAAATCGTACAGGTCCTCATCCAAGATTTCAACTGTGCCTTGCAAGATAATTTTCTTCTTCAGGTAACTTGATGTACTAGATGATTTTTCTCTTTACCTTTTCCTATATCTTGAATCCTTAACAATTACTATTTCCTGATCACATAAAGCTGAAATGCTACCCCACAATTGTTTTGAACTGACTGACTTCTATTTCTGTACACTAAGAAGTTGTGATTGACAGAAGACATTTGGTTCTACCAACCTTCTTTATATGTTTTATCTTTCTTCCTTGCAGGGTCATATGTACTTATTTGTGCACTATATCTGCTTCTACTCCAATTTGTTTGGATTTGAGACAAAGGTTATTCTTGAACTGATATTTTCTTTTTATGTTTTTAAAAGCGTGATGCTAACTTGAATTTTGTAATTCTGAATGAAGAAGTTCCTGGAACCTAATTCCTGCAGTGTTATTATAATTATTTTAGGATAATATCATATCTTTGATATGCTGATAGCATCTTGAAGAAATTATGAGACATTATGATGCAGTAGATAGCAGATGATGGGTGTGTGATGTTCTATCAGAAAGAACACAAGAACGATAGTTTATTTTCTGAAAAATCGTTAACCGCCCAGAACAATGAGATCAGTCTCTTTTAATCACACCACCCCGCACTAACCACCAAGTCTTAAAAGCCCAACACAACATAAATAGACATAAACATAAATAATGATAAAAATTATTAAAACGATCATACTAAAGACCGGAGTCGATCATGTTCTGCCAACGCACTCTCTTCGGCATCACATTATGTATCAGTATGATCATCGACTTCCTTATACAATAACACCATGCAATGTACTAATGATCTTTTGTTTCTTATGTAATGAATATTAATACTACTTGATGATGTTTGCGAGTATGAGGCAAGTTTTATTTGGATTGTTCAGGGCGTGTTTGTATTCAAATATATCCGTTCATTTGGTTAACCAATGTTAATTTTTAAAAAAGTAGTATGATTAGTTGTTAGTGGGATTTTGATTTTATATTAAAATAATATTTGAAATAAAATAATTAAAGTTGATTTGATGTAAAAGTAGGAGAGAGATGATGTGAAGTGATAGTTAGTTAAAATTATGTGAGTGGATGAATAGTAAATTAAAATGAATGTGATGTGTAAGAATGATTGGTTGCTATTATTTAATTATATTGTTAATATTGAGGATAATGGAGTTGGGTTAAAGTTGAATTAGATTTTGAGTATGAATTGAGTATGGATTGAGTTTTTTGATATACGTCACTGAACGTGTAGATCCTAATTAACCATTTGAATTCTCAGAAAGTAATTCCATTCCATGAGATCACCTCAGTACGTAGAGCAAAAGCAGTTGCTGTTTTTCCGACAGCTATAGAAATAATAGCTGCAGGAAAGAAGGTATGAACCCAGTGCTGTACGCCTTTTTTTAAGAAAAAATCCATGTCAATGCATTCTGCATAATTTGTTGGTTTTGCCTTTTGATTCTGTTAGTAACTTTTGATTGATGAAATCATTATTTCCTTCTTCAGTATTTCTTCACCTCTTTTTTATTCCGCGACGAGGCCTTTAAGCTCATTAATGAAGGTTGGGTGCAGCACAGCAATGGATCTCATGAAAATACAGATCAGCAGGTATGAGAATTATGGAATCCAAGTACATCCATTCCGCACATGGATGGGTTCCATTTCTGTGATTGTTGGACTACTGAGTAGTGCACTGTGTTTCCATTAACTTGATTTAAGCAATGTTTTTGGTAACAATCGATCAATGTCATGCATTTTAAATGGTCATTTCTAAGTGGAAGCTGATGCTGTTATATTATAATTTTAACTTTGTAGGATCAGCTTTAAATTTTATTTCATCAAGTTGTATTTTACGTTTCAATTTTTTTTTTTTTTTTTTGGAAGAATTACAATATTCTTTCAGTAATTTGTACTTTACTTTTCATTTATTTATTTTTTCGAAGAATTACAATATTCAACTACATGTTAATTTTAAGTAGTTCTTTACTTATTTTCTGTTCTCTTAGGAGCCAAAGTCTGGTATAAGCAGCCAAGAGAATGGCAGTTCTACTGTTGAAGAATCAGATAACTCCAGACAATCCATAGATGAGTCGGATACCATTGAAAGGTATGTTGTCTATATCTACACACACATACACACGCACAAAATGCAGATAGATTGGTGGATACATAGATAGATGGATATATGTCCACCTTCTGAATATTTCATCTGTAAATGCTAGTTTTGCTTACTTGACTGTCCACTCCTGGATTTTTATTTCAACTGTAAGATTGGGGCTTATGAAAAACTTGGGTCACCTTTTCTACACAATGAAGTTTTTTTTTTTTTTGTTCCATTTGACTTTTTTACCCTTTCTTTTTTCCCAGGATTCAATTGCTGATGCTTTTCCAGAAAACACACTATTAGCTCAGTTCCACTTCTACCAAAAGAATAACTAATCATTATTTTACAAATTTTTTCCCACAATTCTATTGCTTGCCTACTCTCATATTTCTAACAACCATTCATATCCAATCACTGTTTACTAGAAGAAGTATATCATCATTATCGTGTCCAACAATATTGCATTTCCAAAAATGAAAATTCTCCACTGCGAAGAAAAGGTCTCCAGTCGCAACCTTAAGTTGGTTACCTCCAAAAGGAGGATCTGTCTAATAAAGTGGCTCTTTATTGGAACCCTTTCTCACAAGACTGGGTTGGGACCTGGGAGTCAAATTAACTTGATGTTTCTTTGGAACAGTGATAAAAATGACCCCATATTGGAGGAGTCCAGAAATGTCGGTGATGGTGAACCTGAAATTGTATCAACAGCTTCTGTCGTGGAAATTACTCAAGAAGTGACTCCAGAAGCTACTTCTACTCTGAGGTGTTCACCACCAGAAAATTCCTCAGCTTGGGAGCCCGAGGACACTGATGCACCTGGTGGTGAGTCAATATCTTACTCTTTGCTTTTCCCATTTTACTAACTTTCTGCTAAAGCTTATGAAAAAAATTGGGATTGGTATTTTGTGAGGCCTGAGCTGGAAGGATGAGTTGCATTTCTAAATATTTATATGTTGAGTTGGATTGATTTATTTAGTCTTTTCTATACTTCATTCCGTGCTTATTTTTCACAATGCAGTTCACGAAGGTTACACTAAAGTTGCAGAATCAAGATTTCCGGTAATGTAATTTTTTCTGCTTGTTAGTTTCATTTCGGTTATACTTATTCAGTTTTAGGATGGGTCATAGCAGGTGTATTTCTCTTGATCAATTAATCTATTTGCTTCACTGCAGATACGGGCAGAGGAGTTCTTTAATTTGTTCTTTTCTGATGGTGGTGTCAGTTTCCAGGAGACCTTTCATAGAAAATGTGGTGATAAAGGTGGCTAGTTGAAGGCATTTTGTGTCTTGTCATATCCATGTTTGTACTTTATTCTTATTTGTATTCGTATTTTATCTAGTCTGCCGTTATCCCTCGTAGATTTCAAGTGCACTCCATGGCAGCCTCATGGAAAAGATGGGCATACTCGTGAAGTGTCATTTCTACATCCAATTAAACTCTATTTTGGTACTTGTTTGAAATAGATGAATATTTGTTCTAGAAATGATTTTTCTGCCCTACATGATACACGATTTCTTACTCTCCTGACTTGCTATTCCTGGCAGGTGCAAAATTCGGCGGCTGTCAAGAAGTTCAGAAATACAGAGTTCACAGAAACTGGCAAGTTTCGGTTGCCATTAGAAATTTCAAATTTGATGATGATCAATTTTGCTGATGTCCTGCTGTTTACTGTTGTCTTGTTGGTCGGGTCTTATAGTGTGTTCGTTGGTAACCTTAACTTCTTACCTGCTCATTTTTCCATTCACAGTCATTTGATCATCGATACTTCACAAGAGATCAGTGACGTGCCATATGGGGACTACTTCAGGGTGGAGGTATGAATTTCTCGAGTCTTCCAATGTTGGTGTTGAAAATTTCTTTTTTGAACCTTCTAACATCCTACTTCGTAGATCAGTTGACAATCTTTTGTTATTTTATTTTATTTTATATTTTTTATTGTTCGGATACAGGGCCATTGGGATGTTGAGGAAGAGGGCAATGAACAGAGGCCTGGTTGCATATTGAGGGTATACACCAATGTGGCCTTTTCCAAGAAAACCTTTCTGAAAGGTTCGTCTTATCTCTGCTATTCCTTGTACTCTCTGGACTAATATTCATCTATAT